TCTAGCCACTGGAAAAGGTAGAACATAGATTTTTAATTGAAAGGGATTGTATCGAAAAAGGAAGACAAGATTCATGTGGTTGCCAATTCCCAGCATCTTTTGAATGTGTTAGATTTCTTATTGCTGAGAAAAGGTACAGACTAAAACTTGAATTGTCCTAAAAGACGAAAATACTCGTTTCACAAACTGATTCTTAAATTATTTTTGAAATGTGTGACCCGTATGCTCCTTATCATATCGGCAGTCAGTAGTATCACGATTAACACTAATTAATCGTCTCACTACACACAGACTAAGATTGGCCCCTGGCAAGGCATCCTGGCCACCCGATATATTCAGATTCAGCGAAATAGCTACCTATCAACAATATGCTTACCATGCAATCAAATCATTTCATCATTTGTTATCTCATCGAGACTGAGGTACATAAATAGTGTCAACCTCAGTTATTCTCGATATCTTTGTATTTAGCTACTAGACCAATGACCAAATAAATAAATTTGATTGAGCAACAACTCAATCCCACTGTGGCCGAAAATTTAGTGTCATTGCCATTTACTAAACTGCGTTGTGAGATAACTTCTCCCGCACTCGAGAGTGATGAATCCTTTGTCAATCCACCATAGTTTTGATACACTCCTCGATATAGTCAATCACTGTCGTATTCATAGTTCTGAATAGAATTACGTTGGGCTAGTGTCAAACTACACCAATCGGTGCACAAGGCTCTCCAGTGATCTCAAGTCTAAAGATCATATGCACCACCATTTGTTAGAGAATTTATTCCACATGTTGCACTAGGTTGTCGGCAAATAACCTTGACAAGTGAGATTAGTCACTATCTTTTGACAAGGTTGTTCAACACTATGATAGTCTTACCGTATTATTTGTGTCATTGGTCATAACAATACTAGGGCTACGAACATTTCTAGAATGGCCACCATATGTGATCATAGGGTTCTCACTATCAAGATTTAAAATACTTGATATTCTCGTCACGGTTCTATCATCCTAAGGACATATATCAATACATACATATATGATTTACAAGATATATAATAAAATGCATTTTATTGATTAATAAAGATTATTACAAAGAGTTAATTTTATAATAATTGATTGGCTCTAAGGCATCTACTCTAACACGCTTGTCCATAAAATTTTTAAAATAAAATAATGGACACCAATAGTAGCTCATGAGTTTCTTCCATGCTTTTGGTTGGAAAAATCTTGAATATCTGGCCACTGGAAAAAATAGAATATAGATTTTTAATTGAAAGAGATTGTATCGGAAAGGGAAGACAAGATTCGTGTGGTTGCCGGTTCCCAGAATCTATTGAATTGTTAGATTTCATATTGTTGAGAAAAGGTACAGACTGAAACTTGAACTATCTTAAGCTTTTCACAAATGGACAATTGATAAGATGGGTGAAGAAGTTATGCTTCCTTGGACCAAGCAAGAACAGAAAAATTTCAAGAATACAGTGAGATTAAATCCTCCATCTCTTGATAAGTGTTTCTGGGACTAGATATTCAAGTTTTTTCCAGCCAAAAGCAAGGAAGAACTTGTGAGCTACTATTGGCGTCCATTATTTTATTTTTAAAAATTTATGGATAAGCGTTCATATGAGGTGGACACCTGTCCATAGTAAATGAACTCCCGTTCAAATAATATAGATGGGAATCCATTGTTATTTTCTTGGATGCTCATCCATTCGTGATGAATGACCGTCCATAATTCTTAGACGGTTGTTCATTCACAGAAGATGTGTATTGTCTCTAACGTGGTCGTGTTTGACTAGATGCCACATACGTCGATACAAAAATTCGGTGTAAATTATCAGTGTTCGTAGTATTATTGGTGATTTTAGCCTCCATTATTAAGTACACCCTTTTTATATTTTAAAATCTCTTTTTGAACCCCACTTAATACCAAAATTACCTATATATATATATTATCCTCAATTTTTTTAATTTCTTGATAGATAATCTACTATTTTATTTTGTTTAAGTTCGTAAAGATTCATTGAAATATATCAATTATAATAGAAGATGGTAAATATTTATTCTTTTTTTCCTTTTAAATTTCCTAAACTCAAGATTTTGTCTTTTTAATTACTAAATAAATTTTCTATATTTTATGCACTTCTTTCATCAACCAATAATTGTTAAGTCCAAAATTATATATTCCTAAAAGAACTTCAATCACTCTAAGAAACTCTAGTATATTCTATGTTGATAACAAATAACTTTTAAGTGGGTTGATATGTTAGTCTTCCTCGAAGATTAGTTGAGGTACGTGTAAACTGATCCAAATATCTTAATTAAAAAAAAAAACCAAATAACTTCTAGATATTACAAATTAAAATAAATATATTTTGGTCTCCATAGTTAAGAAAGCCATAAACAAGTCTAAATTGCTATGACAAACATTTCTAATTTATGGCCATTGCTTGTGCCGTATGAGCAAGGGTTCAAAACCACAGTTTTCACCTAGTATTACAAAATTATGATTTTAACATATAAACATTAAAATGAAGTACCTAGTCTCACCATGACCAACGAAGATACAAGCTCAACACGACAAAAGAGCCTCATCCACCTTTAGACTAGAACTTATATAGGGAAAATAATTAAAGCAATATGAAATTAGTAGGAAATATGGTTCAAATTCTTGATATTGGAGCACATTGCACCCACTTGTTTTTGCAAAGCCTATTGCTCATTAGCCTTTCAGTTATGCGTCTAAATAAAAACAAGAGTAAACGACATGTTCCCACCCAAAGATTAGCAAAAATCCAAGTTCCCAACCTTGGTTTCATTTATCTCATATTCCCAACCTTAAATTAAAACCGTGAATGATTTTTGGATTCTAACACAATATGGAGAGTGTTATTATGAAACTACCATTACAAATAAGTTAGTAAATTACTTTTTAAGCTCAAATGGATTTGGATTTTTCCGACAGTCGCAAGGGAAGGGAAAATAGGGAGTAAAGGCTCAGATCCAGTCAAAATGGAGGCGGACGAGGCTGGGAGACGGATGGATTTTGTTGGGGATGAGTGGGGGAAGGTAATGGTGGTGACGGTGATGTCAAACGGCACCAAAATCTGGCTAGATCTGGATTTTTCGACAGCCGCGAGGAAAGGGAAAATTGCTAATAAAAGGCTAAGATCCAGCCAAAATGGAGGCGGACGAGGCTAGGGGATGGATGGATTTTGTCAAGGATGAGTGGGGGAAGCTAATGGTGGTGGTGATGCTGTCAAACGATGCCGGAATCCAGCTAGAATTGGATTTTTCCGACAGCCGCAAGGGAGGGGAAAATTGCAGAAAAAAGGCTCAGATCCGACCAAAATTGAGGCGGACGAGGCTGGGGGATGGATGGATTTTGTCAGGGATGAGTAAGGGAAGCTAGTGGCGATGGTGGTGATGTCCAACGGCGACAAAATCCGGCCAGATCTAATTTTTTGCAACTGTCACGAGGGAGGGGACTGATGAGGGGTGCTTGTGAAAGAAATTTGAGATGTAAAGGGTTATTTGAAATTTTTATTTTTATTTAAGATTTAATGCAGTTCAAATTACCATTTTACCGTTTAAACGTCAGATAAAATGATTTTCTGTTAATTTAAGGGTTGAAATACGAAATAAATGAAATCAAGGGTGGGAACTCGGAATTTTGCTAATCTTTGGCTGGGAACATGTCATTTACTCTAAAAACAAAGTAAAACCCTGAACAATTTCAGAGAATCACAATAGTAAAAATCAATGTTCCGAAAATCGGACCAGACTATGACTCGTTCAAGGGTCTGGTTGGATCGGTCGGTTGGACCGTATTTTGTAAAATTATTTTTAGTCCCTGAAGGTTTGAAATTCATCAAAAAAAACCCCTATAATACTCCCTTAAGGTTTGAAATCTGTCTAAAACACCCCTGTCACGCGAAGAATCTGGTGAGTGGTGGTGGCAGTGACGATCGACGGCCAATCGAAGTTGGAATCATGGGGCTTTTGATGCATAGGTTCCGACGAATCTGATGGTGGTGCTAGGGAGTTCCATTGGCACCGGAACTCGCTGGAATCAACAAAAGAAGCCCGACGGTCGCGTGAACTTTAGGTGGACGGCGAGCGACGAAGGCTGGACAACGGCGGCTGAAAATGGTTGGGTTTTGTCGTGGAGAAGTCATCATATCGAATAGTGGTATTTTCACTGTCGAACGATGCTAGAATCCGACGAGATTGAGCGGCGATTGGACCGCGACTCAATAGTATTCCGACGGTCCAACCGCGACTCAGTCTGATATAACAAAAAATGACGGTTTTCATGAGATACCGGGCCAGAAATACTGTCGGCTCCCAATCGAACCGATCCGACCAGATGGTCCGGTCCGGTTCTCATAACATTGGTAAAAATCACTTTCTTTAGAAAAATATAAAATAATTTTTTAGTATAATAAACAAGAAATTGGAGATAATAAAAAAAGGGATTTTTACTCAGCCTAACCCAATACCCATTAAGTTGTACCCAACCCAACCCATCCTTCAATTTTGTAAGAATGGGTGTTTCCGTTGGGTTTTGCGGGTTGAGTTATGGGTATCCAACCCATAAAGTTTTAAGGTATCTCTATTTTCAATCTTTGTATTTGCCCATGAATCAAATCTAATTGAATCCAAATATTCAGATGTGTAAGGTCCAGAGTAAACTTCAAACAGCCAAAGATGGCCTAGCGTTGATTGCTAAAGCAAAGGTATTGAATGAAACATATTTTAGCCAGCCTGAGATATTTGACCACGGCTTTCGTGGGAAACAAGATATAGGGCAAAAGATTTCATGACATTTCTGTAAATAATGTATTCTCTGAATTAATGTCTACTGCCTCACCGTCATCTAAAGTCATAAATAAGTACCATTGACAAAGCAATATAAAACAAGTAAATAAATAAATTATGCAACTCTAGTTATGCCCTCTGATTTCTATATATTTGAAGGCTTTCACAGTTTCACAAGCATCAATTGATAGATAAAAAAAAAAAAAAAACAAAGCAGAAAGAAAGCAAGAGAGTGAGATGGCAGAAGAGAGAAATGTTAAGCTACATGGGATGTGGGTTAGTCCTTACTCTAAGAGAGTTGAACTGGCCCTCAAACTTAAAGGAATACCTTATGAGTACATAGAAGAAGATTTGAGCAACAAGAGTCCATTACTTCTCCAATACAATCCTGTTCATAAGAAGGTCCCTGTACTTGTTCACAATGGAAAACCCTTAGCCGAGTCTTATATAATCCTGGAATATATTGACGAGAACTGGAAACATTCTCCTCGATTCCTGCCAGAAGATCCCCATAAAAGAGCTCAAATTCGATTCTGGGCTAGTTTTATCCAACAGCAGGTAAAAGCACACGTTAGTTTAAGAGTTGTTGTTCATTAATGTTACCTAAATAACTTGGATAGCACTAACGGTTTAATACATGCAGTTGTTTGAGCTTCTTGGTAGACTGCTCATGACAGATGGGGAAGCACAAAAAAGAACAAGTGAAGAAGCGTTTGAGAAAATTAACGTGTTGGAAAAGGGAATGAAAGAATATTTTTCTGAAGTCGTTCCAGATGTTGATGACCAGAATTTTGGATTTCTAGACATTTTGGTGTGTTCAGTATTCTGTACCCAAAATGTTTGTGAAGAAGTCCATGGTGTAAAAGTATTGGATCCAAAGAGAAACCCCTTCTTGTTCTCATGGGTTGAAAAGTTGAACCAGCATCCTATAGTTAAAGAGATCTACCCTCCTTATGACCAGCTCATCAATTTCCTTCAGGTTTTCAGGCAAAATGCTCTCAAGTCTTTTACTTAATTAGCTTTGCAAAATGCTGTGTGTTTGCTCCCTCTTTCAGATTGGTGTGGTTTTGTAGTAAGGCCTATGGCATATTGACCTGGTGTAATTGTTTTTCAGCTGCAATGAATCTGAAATCTTGATAGATTTCATTCAAATACTATTACAAACATAGGCCATGATTCATTTATTTAGTTTTACTAGATAATTCAAGCTGAAACCCCAGTAGATCTTTCAATAATAACTAAATACATTGAATCTTTCAGAACAACAGCTTTTGCAAGAAGAATATAAATCTGTTGCTTTGTCAATGACCCTTATCCTAAGGTGTCTGAAAGCATATTTTATATCAAAACATTTTTTGCCTCTTCTCGCATCTAAAAGGTTAGTACAATGGAGTTGAAGCTAAAGATGATTTGTATACTGTAAATTTTTTACCAGGGGTTTCTTAGGCAACAAGTTATAGCATTGTATTTTGTCTAATATGTTCAACAAAGAGTTAAGAACATTTTTATTTAGATCGTTTCATATTATCAACTAATGTGTTGTCTCAATGCTACTTAATTTACTGGGTGACCAAAATGAATAGTCAACTAACATTCTTCAATCCAGATTCATATATAATATTATGTGAATTGACAAGGTAACTTGAGTAAAAAAAAATTAATGGGAAATCTTCTGATCCATCTATCTGGAGATTACAGAAACATAAATTGATCAAAAATTAAACAAGGAAAGTAACCAAGAGAGTGAGATGTAAGAAGTTTAAGCTACATGGGATGTGGGGTAGTACTTACTCTAAAAGGATTGAATTGGCCCTCAGAGTTAAAGGCATACCCTATGAATACGTAGAGGAAGATTTGAGCAACAGGAGTCCATTGTTTAAAAATTGTATTTTTGCACATTACAAGCTGAAATGGTATGATTTATACATGCAGTTGTCTGAAGCTGTAAAGAAACTTAGCACAAGTGATGAGGATACAAAAGAAAAAGCAATTGAAGAAGTGTTTGAGAAAATGGAGGCGTTGGAAAAAGGATTGGGAGAACTGTTTCCAGAGGGCGCTCCCAAAATGGATGGCTAGAATTTAGGATTTCTAGACATTGTGATGTGTACAACATTCGGTTACTACAAAGCCAATGAGGAAGTGTTTGGAGTAAAAGTTTTGGATCCAGAGAACTCTTTGATGCCTACGTTTCTTCAACCTTTTGAATCTTCAGCCCCTTCCAAATCTTCTCTCCCGCAAAAGAGCCCGGATGATTCTACAGAACCATTACATTTGCGAAGTAATCACATAACTATTAAAGTGCAAAAGTAGAAACAAACCTCTCCCTGACAGGGCACTTCCAACCTCTTATATTCATCAGGTCTCAAGTGATAAAAACAAAAAATGTTAACTTCTTTATGTTCATTTCGTATCAAGATTCATACAGAGACCTCATTGAAAGGAGTTTGTTGTTTAACCCCTTACCATTAGTTTTTCCACTTGATATTCCTTAAGTTTTGTCTAAAATTTCTTTTCAAGTTATGAGAGAAACTGGTATAGGATCAAAACCCAGTAGAAACACAGTGGCATCACCATGATTTATGTGGAGCTCAATGCATGGATATTGTAATGCACCGTGAATCATTTACCTTCAAAGACATAAACCTGTGAAACATGACTCCTTGATTAAGAACAAACCGGCCCACTGTTTTGTCAGTAAACTTATCCACTGTATTGAAAAGCATATTTCATATCAAATACTCTCTGCATAATTGCACCACCATCTGGAAAGATCTATCCCGGAAACTAAAGATAATTTGTATGACAAATTTGACCAGGGTTTCTTGGGCACCAAACAGTTATGGGACTTTTACATTTTTTTTTTTATAGAAAAATGCTACGGACATCGACGCATCAAACCAAATTTTTACACCGAACGACATGTATATTGAGTCAAACGAACCACGTATCACGTTAACAAATATTTCACGAATGATGGACGACCGTCCATTGTTATTCGACGACCGTTCATTTAAAATGGATGTCCATCCATATTATATGGATGACCGTCCACCTAGAATAGACATTCGTTAATAGTTTAAAGTAAAAAAATTTGGCCTAAATTATTTATGGACGCCCGTCCTCTTCTGAGGACGATCGCCATAGTTGGATGGTTGTCCTCATAAAAGGACGAGCGGTCATCTTTTAATATTAATAAATTTTAAATTTATTTAATACATTAATTGTGAATCCTAATTGAGTTAAGAATGTGACACTTTTCCAATTACATTGAATATAGACAAAAATTTAATGAAGCTTGTCCAATTACTTTGAATATTAACAAAAATTGAATGAAGATAGCGACATTTATTTTTGGATTGAGACAAAAATTGAATATAAAATTTTTTAAATTAAACAATAGACTGTGTCCATCTAAAAGGACGTCTGTCCATTGAATGTAAAATTTTTTAAAATTTTCTAGACATGCATTCATCTTATACGGGCACCTGTCTATATAAGATGAACAGGCGTCCATTATTTTTCTTTTAAAATTTTTTGGACAGGATGGACATATGTCCATATAATATGAACGGGAGTCCATTAAATATGAGCGGGCATCTATAAATATCGGATGACCGTTCATTCATGAAAGACTTGAGCGTAGTCACGTCTGACTGGTTGTTATATCCTTCGATATAAAAATTCGGTGTGAAATTTCGGTGTTTGTAGCATTAGTTAAGAGGGTTGAATTGGCCCTCATAGTTAAAGGCGTACCCTACGAGTACATAGAAAAAGATTTGAGCAACAAGAGTCCATTGCTTCTTCAATACAATCCTGTTTATAAGAAGTTGCCTGTATTTGTTCACAATGGAAAACCTTTAGCCGAGTGACCCGAGTCCTATGTCATCCTAGAATATATTGACGAAACCTGGAATCATGCTCCTCGCCTCCTTCCACAGGATCCCTATGAAAGAGCTCAAATTCGATTCTGGGCAACTTTTATTCAGCAACAGGTAAAAGCTTTCAATATGTCATATCGATGCAGCATTTTGACAGTTTTTTTATATTATTCCTTCTCGTTTTGGATTTCATAACATTGTAGAATCACGTCTAATGTTTATAAATGCAGTTATATGAGGCTATGAGGAAGATGCTGAGTACAAGTGGTGGGGAAGCAAAAGAAAAAGCAGTTGAAGAAGTGTTTGAGAAAATGGAGGTGTTGGAAAAAGGAATGAGAGAACTTTTTCCAGACGGCGCTCCCATAATTGATGGCAAGAATTTAGGATTTCTAGACATTGTGATGACTACAACATTCGGTTCCTACAAAGCTAATGAGGAAGCGTTTAGTGTCAAAGTTTTGGATCCAGAAAAGTATCCATTGATGTTCTCATGGGTAAAAAACTTGAGCGACCTACCAGTATGTAAAGAGATGATCCGTCCTCCTGACAAACTCGTTAATCTTCTTAAGAGCTACCATTTTTCTTGATGATCCTAGACCTTCTAGTTAATTACTTTTTTTTGAGCTATTTTGTTTTTCCTCTGTTTCCTGTTTAAGCTTAATGATATATGTTTGCCATTATATTTTTGGAAATAGTTGAATCGGTAGATAATACCACTTATTATGCTTAGATTTTGAGCAATTTCTAGACGTGGCGTTGGCTCATTCATTTTCCTCAAGGTGACTCTAATCAAGAAAAATTCTCCATCCAAAATCAAATGCTCATTTAAGTTTTAACGAACAGCTCAAAATACCATTGTACATAATTCATATCAGCCAAAATTTCATAAAGAAATTAAAGTTTGGTAAACAAAGTCTATCTGGTTTTAACTTCTTGATGCCTGCTTTTCTTTGGCCTTTTGAATCTTCAACCCTTCTCAATCTTTTGCTCTTCCACCAAAAAAGCACGGATGATCCTACAGAACCATTATAATTGTCAGAAACTAGCATCAATAAGTCACCAAACAGATACAGTAATAAAATATTTACAATCCATATAATAAACACTGGACTAAAGAATATATGGCAAAAGTAGAGCCTGAAACAAACCTCTCCCTACAGCACTTCCAGATTACACCACCATAGGGACGATTAACGGTCCTCCTAGTCCGGGATAATCTAGACCTCTTATATTCAGTAGGTCTCAAGTGAGGAATCTGCAGATGTGGCAACATTCAAAGAGAGTCACTTTACATGGCTCTGAATATGTGGAAAATTAAAACTATCAAACCCTGTGATGTTAGCCAGCTTCACAACCAATCTCAGTTATAATGAAAGCATGTATACTAGTCATGCATGTATAACCACAGATAATAGGTGTATTACTTATTAAAAAAAAGTTCCAGAAGTACACATTTACAAGACTAGAAAAGAACAAAATAAAATACATGTTTTGAACATAATGCACCATATCTGAAGTTTGTCAATCCTTATAAGTGATTGAGGAAGATAAAACCGACCTCAAAAAGAGAGGAGAAAAAAACAGAGCAGAACAAAATAAGGCTTTTATTTAACTGAACAGAGGACTATAAACAGAGCAAGCTGGACACAACTAATTTATTATTGGAAAATCATAAATTGACTGAACATTGGATTAGAGCAAAAACAGAGATTAATAAAATTTAGGGTATTCTTTTATGAATATTGTGTTGTATTTTCAGTATTCATAAATATTGAAAATGATTGAACTGCAAAAAACAAACAAGAAAGCACCAAAAAAAAAAACATTCAGCATATTAGTCTAAACATGAAAAAAGAAAGAAAATATGAAATTTATCATCTCCATAACCTACAAAACTATATTATTTGTCTGGAAGAGCTTGTCTCAAATATGTCAATAGTTCCCATTTCTTTGTTAAAAAATTTTGATTTGAAATCAAAAATTTTATTTTTTGAGGGAGAATAAAAAATATAAAAAAAGGAAAATATAAGAATTTTTTATTCAAATTTTAATTTTTCTATATGAAAAAGTGTGTCATATTCTCTCTCCTTCCCTCTTTCTTCTTTGTTTTCTCATTTGCAAATCAGTAAGAATCATAAACAAACATTAATTTCACAAATTTCAATGAAAAAACGTAAATGGCAAATACAGAATGTAAACGAATATCCCTTACAGTACGTTCAGTTATTTCTTTTGTAAACCTTTTTCATTTCTCTTGCATTGAAATTCATAAAGACTGGTTTCATTTAATATTTCTGTAAATTTGTATTCAAAAACAGAGAAAAAGGAGTGAGTGAGAGAACAAGGGTCTCTCTTTTAAATAAAAAAATCATTCATTCTATTTCTCTTTTTAAATTTTCTTTTCTCTCTCCTAAAACAAAAAAATTTCATTTTAAATCAAGACTTTTAACATAAAATGTAAACGGAAACCAACAATTGACATGTTTAAGACAACGCCGCCAAACGCATTTTCATTTCACACTTTTAAAAACTATTTTTAAACAAACATGCCGAACAAGCTTTCATTTCTTGCATTTTACAATCATTTTCAATATTTAAAAATAAAAAAAACGGATACACGACATAGAAGAACACACCTTTAATTCATATCACGTAAATAATTGATTTTGGTGAACACATTAGACTAAATACATAAATAATCACAACATTGAATTACTAGATTACTTTATTCTTAACTAAAAGAGATATAAGTTTAAAACAACTATTTTCAATCTAAAGTCAAATTAAGTCAGCTTAACAATTGCTCCCTTCTATGAGATTCTAAATGCTGCTCCAACCCAACTCTAAAAGCCACACGACCAAATTGTTGTGGATGAACACTATCACACCAAATTGGTGTGGCACTATTCATCATACCAATTTGCTGTGACTTTTAAAGTTGGGTTGGAGCAACATTTGCACACCGTTTTGGTGTCCCATTGGAGATGCATTCACTTCTCAGTTTGTGATGCTTTACATGAAACTAGTAATTCAAACCCAATACAACATTCGGTTGCTACAAAGCTAATGAGGAAGCGTTTAGTGTCAAAGTTTTGGATCCAGAAAAGTAACCATTGATGTTCTCATGGGTACAAAACTTGAACGACCTACCAGTATGTAAAGAGATAATCCCTCCTCATGACAAGCTCGTTAATCTTCTTAAGAGCTACCATTTTTCTTGATGATCTTAGACCTTCTAGTTAATTACTTTTTTTTGAGCTATTTTGTTTTTCCTCTGTTTCCTGTTTAAGCTTAATGATATATGTTTGCCATTATATTTTTGGAAATAGTTGAATCGGTAGATAATACCACTTATTATGCTTAGATTTTGAGCAATTTCTAGACGTGGCGTTGGCTCATTCATTTTCCTCAAGGTGACTCGAGTCAAGAAAAATTCTCCATTCAAAATCAAATGCTCATTTAAGTTTTAACGAACAGCTCAAAATACCATTGTACATAATTCATATCAGCCAAAATTTCATAAAGAAATTAAAGTTTGGTAAACAAAGTCTATCTGGTTTTAACTTCTTGATGCCTGCTTTTCTTTGGCCTTTTGAATCTTCAACACCTTCTTCACAATCTTTTGCTCTTCCACCAAAAAAGCACGGATGATCCTACAGAACCATTATAATTGTCAGAAACTAGCATCAATAAGTCACCAAACAGATACAGTAATAGAAATATTTACAATCCAATATAAATAGAACACTGGACTAAAGAATATATAGCAAAAGTAGAAGCCTGAAACAAACCTCTCCCTAACAGCACTTCCAGATAATACACCACCATAGGGACGGTTAACGGTCCTCCTAGTCCGGGATAATCTAGACCTCTTATATTCAGTAGGTCTCAAGTGAGGAATCTGCAGATGTGGCAACATTCAAAGAGAGTCACTTTTACATGGCTCTAGAATATGTGGAAAATTATAAAACTATCAAACCCTGTGATGTTAGCCAGCTTCACAACCAATCTCAGTTATAATGAAAGCAATGTATACCTAGTCATGCATGTATAACCACAGAATAATAGGTGTATTACTTTATTAAAAAAAAGTTCCAGAAGTATACACAGTTACAAGACTAGAAAAGAACAAAAAAAAAAAAAAAATACATTTTTTGAACATAATGCAAGCATATCTGAAGTTTGTCAATCCTTATAAGTGAGTGGGGAAGATAAACCGACCTTAAAAAGAAGAGAGATAAAAAACCAGAGCAGAAGGCTTTTATTTTAACTGAACAGAGGACTATAAACAGAGCAAGCATGGACACAACTAATTTATTATTGGAAAATCATAAATTGACTGAACATTGGATTAAGAGCAAAAACAGAGATTAATAGAAATTTAGGATGTATTCTTTTATGAATATTGTGTTTCCATTTTCAGTATTCATAAATATTGAAACTGATTGAAACTGTGAAAAACAAAAACACGAAAGCACAAAAAAAAAGGCATTCAGCATATTAGTCTGAAACATCAAAAAGGAAAAGAAAAATATGAAATTTATCACCTCCATAACCTATAAAACTCTATCTTATTTGTCTGGAAGAGCTTGTCTCAAATATGTCAATAGCTCCCATTTCCTGTGTTAAAAATTTTGATTTGAAATCAAAAATTTTATTTTTTGAGGGAGAATAAAAAATATAAAAAAAGGAAAATATAAGAATTTTTTATTCAAATTTTAATTTTTCTATATGAAAAAGTGTGTCATATTCTCTCTCCTTCCCTCTTTCTTCTTTGTTTTCTCATTTGCAAATCAGTAAGAATCATAAACAAACATTAATTTCACAAATTTCAATGAAAAAACGTAAATGGCAAATACAGAATGTAAACGAATATCCCTTACAGTACGTTCAGTTATTTCTTTTGTAAACCTTTTTCATTTCTCTTGCATTGAAATTCATAAAGACTGATTTCGTTTAACATTTCTGTAAATTTGTATTCAAAAACAGAGAAAAAAGGGTGAGTGAGAGAACAAGGGTCTCTCTTCTGAATAAAAAAATCATTTATTCTATTTCTCTTTTTAAATATTCTTTTCTCTCTCCTAAAACAAAAAATTTCATTTTAAATCAAGACTTTTAACATAAAATGTAAACGGCAACCAACAATTGACATGTTTAAGACAACGCCCCAAACGCATTTCATTTCACACTTTTAAAAACTATTTTTAAACAAACATGCCGAACACGTTTATTTCTTGCATTTTACAATCATTTTCAAATTTAAAATAAAAAAAACGGATACACGACATAGAAGAACACACCTTAATTCATATCAGTAAAAATTGATTTTGGTGAACACATTAGACTAAATACATAATAATCACAACATTGATTACTAGATACTTTATTCTTAACAAAAGAGATATAAGTTTAAAACACTATTTCAATCTAAAGTCACATTAAGTCAACTTAACAATTGCCCCCTTCTATGAGATTCTAGTATGCGTTGGTTTAATATTTATCCCTATTCTGGATCCTATTTTTCAAATAGCGTTTGGTACCTATTCTAAAAATATTACCCTATTTTTTTTAATTACATTTTAACCCATAAGGTTATAATTTCACTAAATACCCCCTGAAAAAAAAGTTTAAAAATTAACAAAAACACCCCCATCAACCCAACTTGTCAGATTCGGCGACCACCGTCAGTGATAGCCGGAATCTGTACAACGGCCAAACTTCCGACCAGAAATGGCCGGAAGTTCACCGCTGTGGCCTTTTTCGGCCAGATCCACCACGGATCTGGCCGGAAAAGGCCAGATCTGGCCGTCAACGACGGCCAAAGAAATGGCCGTCGTTGACCGAAAACGACGGCTACATCTTTGGCGTCGCTGACGGCCAAAGATGGCCCTCGTTTGGCCTTTTCCGGCGTCGACGGCCATAACAAACCGTAGATCTGGCCTTTCCGGCCAGATCCACCATGGATTGGCCGGAAAAGGCATAACGACGTGTTACGCAAGATCCGACAAGTCTGTGCCGTAACGAAATTTTCGGCCAGATTCCGGCGGTGGTGGCGGAATCTGACACTGCAGGTGGTGGGGGTGTTTTTGTCATTTTACATGTTAGGGTCTTTAGTTAAATTAGTAAACCTAAGGGCTTTTTTATAAATTTTTAAAATTTACCTCGTAATACTCCCATATCCAATAACCCAATACTATCCCTAAAATCCTATCCAAAATACTAAACCAAACGCACCCTAAATGTTGCTCCAACCCAACTCTAAAAGCCACACCAAATTGATGTGGATGAATAGTATCACACCAAATTGGTGTGGCACTATTCATCACACCAATCTACTGTGACTTTTAAAGTTGGGTTGGAGCAATATTTGCACACTGTTTTGGTGTCCCATTGGAGATGCCTTCACTTCTCAGTTTGTGATGCTTTACATGAAACTAGTAATTCACAATTCTAATAATAATAAAAATTTTATGAAAAAAATAACTAGCATCTAATACAAAGATAGGCAACAGGAACCACATTCCAAAGAAGCAGGCTTGGCTTGTTCAAACAATTGTTATCTAGCTTTTGAACAATTTCATTATAATTAAAAAACACATCAAGCACCAAAACCTACTTCAAATCAATGCAAATGTTTTACTAAATATGAGATCAAATTCCACAGACGATCATAACACTCAAACATAAATTAAACAATAACTAAATGTTCGCAAAATCCCAGCCAACTGTAAAAAAGTATGCAAAACCTTAAAACATACCCCTTGAATCCTTTTCCCAGTGACAGGACATTTAGGTCCACTCGCTCTCTTCTTAGTGGTCTGGTACACAAGCTTCCCACCTAAATTTCAAACAATTCAATTCAAGGAATAAGCAATTACCCCACAGTAATACTCCAGTAATACCCCGATAATAATGAGGTTAAACAAACCACATCAACTCGTGCACCATAAACAAAAAGAGAAAAGAAAATGTTGAATTAAATTACTGATCTGGAAGATAAAAAACCATAACACAGATCCAACTCTAAGAACCCTAAAAGTATTTGACGTCATTGTATAAGACAAATGTATGTATTTTTGTATATACAAAAATCAGATAGTATAGAAAAGTATACCAGGGGTTTTGACAACCCGGTGCTGGTTGGACTTGGTGGCGTAACTGTGGCGCTTCCGATAAGTGAGACGCTGGACCATCTTCTTTCTCTTGTCGAAAAAATGTAGGACAGGACGACAGGGTTTTGTGTTTGTTGGCAAGTTAAATCTCAATACCCTAGATCTAACGGCTGTGCATTCTTCTATTTAAGGGTCTAGATCGCTTACATCTTTGAACCGGAGTTCGGCTTCCTTCTTACCGGTCCGGTTAAAATGTTTAATATGAGGCTGAAGCTGCCAAAACTGCACTAAACTGATTGGGCCGCATCGCTTAAAGGCTAAAGCCGACTTGAGCAATTTAACGGGCCCAAAATTGAATTTAAACTTTAATAATATTGATCAATGAAAGGGGATTTTCTATATATATATATAGAAAATCCCTTTTCATTTGTACAGGAGAATATATATATGTATATATATAGAAAATCCCTTTTCATTTGTACAGGAGAGTTTGTATAAAGAGGTTCTCCTTAATATAAAAGATAAATTGGAAGAACAAATTGCCCACTAGAAATTCTGGCCCTCTCATTTTGGAGTTCATTGACTTAACAGTACGCCATGTAAAAAAATCTAGACATAATTTAATTCTGCAAATAAATAATGAGGCAATTAAATCATTATCATTATTCCATGTCCATGAGAAAAATATATTTAAATTTGGACGTTATAACAAAGTCAAATTACATTCCAAAAAAGAACGGGAACGGCAAGGCAAATTAATACTAGGTAGCATGCATGGAGTTTTATTAACAAGGCAATTAAATTCCAAACTCAGATGGATTTTAATTAATTTAGGTTCATGATGTGGGTTCTGCTTCCGCTTCTGGTTCAGGTTTTATAATGTCTTGTGGAGGCGGGACGTTCATTTTCTTTATTGAAGCAGTCTTGTTGAGATGAACGTAGGAGCCCTTCTCCTTGAACAGCTGAGTAAAGTGGTGCTTGCAGTAGAGGACACCGTCCAAGGCGGCGTAGGATGAAGGTGTCAGAAAGCAACCGCCGTGAGCACACCTGAAGCATGTCTTATGGTACGACTCTCCTTCCACTGTCACCTTCTCAAGAGGGTATGCCGTTTTCTTGCATGATGCACATTTGTCTTGGGTTCCAGAGAACATAAAGGAAAGTTTGCTGGGAGATTTTCCCTGCAGATTCAACCAATTAATCTTTTAACTAAAAATGATGATAATAATAATAATATACACAACATATATGAAGTAGTGGGTAGAATTTGAATACCAGTGTTGGCTTTTTTGCAGCTGAACAATCATAAATAAAGAAGCAGATATATTAGCCCAGAAAAAAACAATGGCAAATGGAAAATCTAATGTTTAATGGTAAGATTAATAAGTGTAGTTTTTTCTGACCTTGAAATTTATTTGTGAAACTCCCAGTCTCCTTGTAAAGCTGCTCAAAATGAGGCTTGCAGTATAAGACTCCTTCAATGGCTGAATACCTACCCATCTGTAACACAAATATTTTAATTACAAATCATGATTGAAAAAGAATGAGAAAGAAGATAAATAAAAAGATTGACAGGTTAAGGTTAAACCTGAAGAAGTCCATTGCAGTGACTGCATTTGAAACAAGTTTTATGGTAAGGAACTCCATCAGCTGTTATCATTTCAGCAAAGTAAACAGTCTTATCACAAGCCTTGCACTTCTGTTGAGTCCCCGTGAATGCCATTATTGTCTCTCTTCTAAATTTTACACTCAAAAAAAAAAAAAATCTGATCTCTCTGGATCATATAGCTAGAAGCTTGACGTCCAAAGGAGATAAAAGGTGATAAAAGAAACACATTCTTAAATTCATCTATATAACTTGAAACTCACCTTAATTTTCTTTTAACCCTTTAATTTAAGGTCAAAAATGAAACTGGTTAACGAATGGAGAAGGTGAATTACAGGGTGTAACTAAGAATAGAGTTGAACAAAAAGGAAAGGAGGATAGTATTTCGGGGACAATCCAGATATATGAAGACCAAAATTACAGCCACTTTCTTCTAAGTTTTATGCATGTGGTGTGGAAATTAGCTCGACGTCAATTAAATAATTACCCTTTTGCTATTTAAATAGGCAATTGATTAATTAAAGAGACTCTCAAAATTAGAGTAGCTTCACATTAATGGTTAATTGCAGCAGCCAATGGGTAAATAATAGCTTCATGCAATACAAATTAAAAATTTATTGATGAGGAAATAATAAATAGCATACAGAAACAGACAATTTCATCTAATGATAAGCAGTAGTACTGTACATAAGTTACAGCCACAACAACAATATCTTATATTCACCCTTTAAATGCAACTTGATAAGAAACTCAAAACCCTCTACAGACATATGTAATGTAAATCTATTCCAAGAGTGTCTTAATTATTCCCCAATATTCTTGTATTCAAAATCGTCAATCAAATGAAAACAAGGGCAGATTCTGATAAATAAACACCACTGTCCCAATTATCTCAACAAACTAACCAAAACCAACCCATCCAATATTTTTGCAAAAGAATATGCTTCAAAAGATCACCAGCCAACCATTCAAACGTACAGTAAATCAGGACCATTTCAGCTTGTTCAACTCCATGGCCTGCTTTATAAATCCAGAAATCTTTTGGTCGTTGTCTTGAAACTGAGAGGTGAGAACCATGTATATGCCGTTTGGTAGTCTTAAGGAAAGGTGCAATTCAGAGACTTATTTGGGCTTCATTTTTTTTGTTTTCTTATTGTCAAGCATTTGCATTCCTTTTATTTTCGTGGATAAAACCCTCTCTAAGAGCTGTCTGCGCTTCATTTTCCCTTCCCAATGCAAAAAGAGCAGCAGCTTGTAAGTAGGCTGCGATATGCCAAACAGGAGATATTACTTGGGCTTGTAATGCATCATTGAGGGCTTCCTGTGGCATGTCACTCATCAGATAAGACAGACTGCGACGTGCAAAAACCGTGGGTGATACCATTGTTCCAACATCAATGAACTGCACATATAACAAACTATCAGCACAATATTGGAATTACTATTTCACTTTAGAGAAAACATGCTTCTTGAATGGACCCAAGAAACATACAAATAACCATTGAACAGAAGTTGTTTCTTTTCAGGACACCAATCTTTTTCCTTCAATTCTATTTTAATTTGGGGGGAAAAACAAAAACAAATAAAACAAAAGTAACACTACTGCCACCATCATAACACCTAGAATCTCTATTTAACCTCTTGACTGACAAATACATGTACAGTGAAATTCTCCAATTCAATAAGTGATATAAGAAAAGAAAGGAAGACAATAAACAATGATGCAAAAATAGAAGCAAATGAAATGCCTTTCATCAACATATGAAAATAAAGTTTGAAACAGTTCTTTCCATTAGACATTTATTCTAATCATAATCAATTTAAAGGAATGTAGAGAAAACAACAGAAAAACAATCTAACCTGTGAAAAGCATTCAATGGCAGCTCTAAAATCTTTGTGCCTAAATGCAACATCACCCTTTTTCTTTGAATTTAATGTTTCCTGCATCTGGTTGGTCCACATCTGGAAAGAAAGCTGAAAAAGGAATACAACCATAAGCAGACAACAAAGGCAAAAGGAAGTTCATTTGATACCAGGGAAACAAATATTAGGCTTAGATTTACAAAATATTTACATAATGATCATTATTAAAATACTGAAATACAAAAAGAGTTTTTGATTGCTTAACTGTGGGAACAAGTAGTAAAGCCATTATGATGCAGTCTCTTATTATTTGGATTTAATATATAAGAAACAAACCTCTGTAGCAGCACCCTCGTCATCTTTATATCCAAGCTTTTCCAAGATCTCATGAATGGCAGTCAAATCCATTCTTAAGCAAGCTTCACCAAGTGGTGATAGAGGTAAAGCTGCAGTACCATGTTGTATACCCATCAATACGTGAGAAGGAACCTGCAAAATGATAATTCTAGTAAATGGACAAGTATCCTTCGACTTTTAAGACTCAACAAAGCCAATGAACCATGCAAAAAGAGAGAATATTATGTTGTTAGTTTTTGGGGTATATTAATATATTCTGGGGCCCAGAAAACTCAGAACATTCACCAATTGCCTTTATGTCATTTCAAGGACTAGTTTACACAAACTCCACTAGCAGATGGCAAACCACATAAGACGATGTTAGTAACAAGAGTCAATCATAAGCTTTTCATAATAATGGCTATACTTCATCATCTTAATGGTTCTAATGGCTTTAACAAACACAAAGCTTACAAGGATGAAGAGATATAGTGTCTTCGAATATATACTTGACTTTAAAAATTAACAAATTAAAAAAAAAAAAAAAAACCAACCTCAGTATCCTGAAGAGGAAGCAAGCAGTAACTAATGACCTCGGATTTGGCCGTTCTCGGGTCATACTGTAAACATCTTGACGCTAAACGCACTAATCAGTTCCTTCATCATGAGAAAATTGGCGTCCAAACAAGAATCTGTCAGCGTCTGAATGTTCCTGTCCCGTATTAGGTCCAATGCCTGAAGGAAACAATGCAGATGGATGTTATATGTGCAATTACATAGCCTTCATGCTGCAAGCATATCCAAGGAAAACAAACATAATCATAAAACAATATTGTGGACATTCAAGTTTATTGGCAGGACTCCAATCAGGAAAGACTATCACAGATAAATAACTTCGAAATTGTTGTTAAAATTACAGCCATAGTGATTCAGATTAATTTAAGTACTCTCTGACCTTGACAAGGATCAAAAAATTATGTCTGTATACAATGCAATCCAAATTTCCACAAGGGCCACCAAATATGACTAAAAACAAAAGAAGATTACATTTCTGATGCCAAAAGATGTTTACATGCAAAATAATTAAAAGTACTAAATAAATAGTAAATGACAGTTGATAGTCAGTGAGAATATGTGCAAGGGGAGAAAGAGAGAGATGCAATATGTTGTATCTAATGGTCTCAGCAGGAAAGAACTTACGTGACTAGGAGGAATATGTTTTCCACTGAGAAGGTCAAGCAAAAGGGTGCCAAAACTGGTACATCACACTTTCTGCAGTTACTCTTCCTACAGTAAGAATGAGTAAAGGGATTAATAAGGCAAAGAAAGTTCATGGGAAAGGATCACAACAATAACAAAATATGAGATTAGATATGCACACAGATCCATGAAATTGCATTCAGTTAAACAATCAAAAGCTGAGGAATTAAGACAGTTAATGATCTATTATATAGAACTTTATTCAAAACCAAGATATCAAGATGTCAGTGAGTGCCAATACCTTTTGACTACCTTTTTCTTTTTCCTTTCTTAATACTCACAAATATCTTGACTTCTCCAGTATTCATCAAGTTCGAAATTAGGGGCTACTTCGAAACCCTACAACCTTGACAACCAGGAAACTTATGGTATAATTTTATAGCAAGTAAGTGCCCCAAGGGATTTGAACATCTAACCTCTTATTGGAACTAAGGGTCTCTAACTGAAAAAGAACCCCTTTTGACCACTTCTGTAATGGAATTACAGATCAGAATTTCAAAAGCCAAACAAGAAGACACAAGTAATGAAATTGCCCCATACTAATAACATCATTGTATCGATCAATATATAGTTTAGGAAGTCCTTAAAGGATCGGTATAGAATTAGAAAAGGAAAGAGATTAGTATTTGCAAAAAATTAGCAAAGCAACTATTATTATAACAATCATATGCAGCAGACAGATAAAAAAATCATTACATCAGCATCAACGCTGAAATACAAGTGTAAGAACTCGTGGGGGTGGAAGGGAGAGAGAGAGAGAGATAATTATTGATGGCTTTGTTAATAATTGACAAAAATCCAAGTTTAATATGATAGAAACAAATTTTTTTTTTTTTTATTCTGATATATAACACAACCAACTCGTACAATGTAGCTTCAAGGTCATATATTTTTTTATACAAAATAATTATAAGGATGCCAAAAAAGGGCAGAAAACTGGCACAGGCAGGAAACATATTTTAACAAACTATATTTAGATTAGCAGATATAGAACCTAGTATTCAACAGCCAGAAAAATAGATACACCAAAATCTCCAAATAGATGATGAATGAACAAAAAATATCTATCGGTACTTTCAAGCTTACCCGTTCGCAGGTACTCGGGAGGAGTAAAAGCCAAGTTTGTACTGTAACTTCTTCCATCTCTACTGTTCTTCATCAGACCAAAGCATGAGAGTCTAGTGTTGCCATCCTGAGAAATAAAACGAAATATTCTAAATCCTAATTTAAAAAATGAATGATAAAGTTGATGAAAGTAACATACTTACATCATCAAAAACAATTCTATAAGCATTTAGGTCATGATATAAGGCACGCCCTTTGCTGGTACAATACTCTAGAGCTTGAGCAAGATGTAAAGCCACCCTTAGACGCATCGCCCATTTCATAGGTTGTGTTTCCCCTGAAAAAAATGAAAGTGAATATCGACAGTAAAGTAGAATAATGTAACTGGTGTGATTGTTCAACTGAGCAAACTGAAAAAAGCAAAAGAATACAAATGGCATCTAATGCCGTGCCCAATCGGATCTCACTATATACCTCTGAATTAAGGAAGTGTCATGCACTGACATTAACAAACAAAAACAGCAATATAATAGAGCAGAAACAGAATCTGATAGTAAAAAGTCAAACCATCAGACCAAGATTAAGAATGTCATGGAACGAATTTTTCCCTAATGTAAAAAAGTATTCAAAAATGAAAGTACCACAGAATCTTTCCAAGTAAGAAAACCACTAACATATGGCTCTCCAAAAATCATAACAATGATTATATCTACCATAGAGTGAAGAAAGTGAAGAAGAAAGGTTATAAGAAGAGTCACTTCTCAATCTTTATATGCAAAAGCAAAAGAATATTAGTGGTAGTTGCTTCCTAAAATGCAACTATATTGACAGAGTTATGATTACTTTCAGGTCATACATAAGATTGAGTGCCACAGAAATAAATTGTTAATAGATGGAGACAAAAACCAAACTTACAATGAAATAAGTGCTTTGCTAGAGTATCATTAGCCATATATTCCGCAACAAGTAATCTTTCATCACCTTCACAGCAGCAACCAAGTAAATTTGCCAACCTATGGTTTCGAAGCTGACCGACAGCTTTTGCTTCTTCCTAAAATAACATAAAGTCAAAAGTTAAAAACCTAAAAGATTTATGCAAGGACAAGAAGATTACTACATTAGCAACTATTTATACCATAAAATTTCAGTAAAGCATGAAAAGAACTAATTTCAATGACTATGTTATTTCTGCAAATGATAGAATCTTTTCTATGAATAACAATGCCCATACAACTAAAAAGGGTTCCTCTCAAACTACTAAAAGTTATCAAGTCCATCAAAAAACCAAAAACTGGTAAGACTTTATGCAGCAACATTTTAGAGTTGGGAAGAAAACAACTTCATTTGTGTACATAAGTTTAGACATGCCCTAAACAATAAGAATAGAGTAAAGACCACAGTGAAGCAACATGGTGAATTACAATTACACCAAATTTTCAACCTAAAACCTGATGAAGCAAATATGGACAGAGCTAGCCAAGATAATGAGAAATGATGAAGTTCTAACATCAAAATGCTATATATACGAACATATATTTACCAAAAACTGTCGAGCATCAGGCCACGCAGACCTATTAAACCGTTTAACAGCAATCCGCCTTTGATTCTCCAACTTGCCCTTATAAACCACATTTGGAGCTTTTTCTCCATGTTCAGAAACTATATTTTCCACAGCAAATCCAGATGTGGCCATCTTAAGTGTCTCAACAGAGTACTCGCAAAACACTGGCACATTATCAACTTCACCCTTGTCCTCGTTTTCTGCAAACCACCACAAAACTCAAAACTAGAAATCAGTCCCCATGTAGCAGAAACAAAGAAACCAGAACCAATCCCCAATTCACTTACCATCATTGTTATCTTCAGGCACTGCTCCTCCATACTCTGAACCCCAACAGCACGCTGAGAGCTTTGAACACTCGCAGCCCATCACAATACCAACAATTCAACTGGCAACACCCAGCAACCTTCACGACTTCAAATAAGAAACTTGTTCTCAAGTTCTACACAGTTGACACGACAATTGAAAATAGATTTACAAACCCAGTTTCCAAATGCCATTTAAAGCAACCCCAATTGACCTGTGAAATAAAAATCTGACTCAAATATTCATTTAAGAGCTACACGAAGCTAACAAAGAAGAAACAATTGTTAGAATCCCTTATGCCACGTCATTTTCTCCTCCAATAAAACTAAAACCCAGAATCAACTAAACATAATTAAATCAATACGACAACTATATCACTTCATTCAGCTGAATTTACATCTCATTTAAAAAAATCACAAAAATAAAATAAAATAATAAACACGTACAGAACAGAAGATTCAAACAAACACTACTTTCATTTATTTTCCTCAACTTTCTCAGCAACCAAACACTGATGGAACGAATTTTAGTCAACTCAGTAGCTGGTCAACAAACAGTTCTCTCTTTCCCACAGCAACTTCAAGTAGTTATTTAAGCTTAATCAAAAACAATTTTAGCTCCAGAAAGAAGAAAAAAAAACAAAATAAAAAAGTAAGGCAAAGCAAGAGAAAGTATATGCAGAGAATAAGCAGAAGAAAAATTCAGGACCTGAAATGAACCGAAGCGATTCCTCGTTGTCGATTCGGTCAAAGGAAGTAAAAAAAGTGAGAGCTCTTTTCTTTTACGCTTCTAATTATTTTTCTTTTTTATTATTATTATTTCTCGTTTTTCGTTTTGTGTTGTGTGTTTTTGCTTTTTGTTGGTTTTGGAATGATGGAAGTGTTTCTGAAAAACGAAAATATATTTTTCTTTAATGAGAAGAAAGATTTGGAATTTAATTTTAATTAATACAATAAATTAATTATATTGATAGATAGATGGATAAATAAATAAAAATAAGAGATTTCCCTATCTTTATTGTAGTATGTGCATGTGTATCTGTGTTTCATTTACTTACATTAATAATTTCCCACCGACATTTCTCCTTCCCCATTTTCATTTGTTCAATCCCCACCCAAGAATTAAAACTTTATATTATAATTTTAATTGAAAAATCACTTATGGAACTATTAATTTTCACTCAATTCCTGTGGTAACACACAAATGTGAAAATGAAATGGGCCAGATGACAAATGGGCAGTAATATGAAGACCATAATTGACTCAAGCAACAACAAGAATGTTTTAGTCTATAGATTAAATTCATGTTTTTACTATTTCCAAAGGGGTAATTTGATTTCATACGGGGGGCTATTGATAATGAGCCAATCACGGAAGCGATATAACTTTATTAATTGTATTTATTTGTCTGTAATGTAATGTTCAAAATGTAGTGAGGAGGATTTGTCGGTTTTAGTTGGTTATCACAATGTCAAGACGTCACACACGTACACATTGGCAGCATCACCGAGACTAATTGATTTAAGTGAAAGTCATTTCAAACTATACTTTCATTTTAACAAAATTAAATTACTTGAGAGGGGATTTTACGGCAACTTTATTAATATAAAATACTTGTACCAACTCCGTAACCTTACTTGCTAAGTTAAACCAATGACTAGCCAATTAAATGGAGTGCTCCTGTAAAATTCTTTGTATTTTTTTATCCAGCTACTTTAGTTAGTGAACTTTTGATGGGTTAAAGTAAAACAATTAATATTTTAACTAGTTTTGGTAGAGAACAACGGTCAAAAGCAAAACCCTAATTTATATTATCAGATGGTGTTTAGGTTAACTTATGTGTACCTCAATTAATCTCTCATAGTTTCAGAATTGTTAGTCAGATAAGAGTCTCAATTAATATCTTGGTCGTCGTTGATGACTGATTACGGCTAAAAATCTAGTCGTTGACCGAAGATCTAGCATTTTTCGGCCAGATCCACTGTGGATCTGGCCGAAAAATGCTAGATTGGCACACTACCGGCCAGATTCAACATGTAGTGCACCATTATACCAGATTCTGGCCAGCTTCCGACAATGGTGGCCGGAATCTGATAAAAGTGGGTTGCTAGGGTGTTATTGTAATTTCTAAAAAAAATTACGGGTGTTTAGTTAAATTAACAAATTTATGGGGGTTTAAAAGAAATTGAATAATATAGAATAATATTGTGAGAATAAGCTAATTTTATTGTTTAACTTTATTGAGAAAAACCAGAATAATATTCGGAATAGTGAAACAAACGAAGCCTTATAGAACTTATTTTTGCTCTTTTATCATCAAATCATCCAGTGGTGATTAAAAACTCATATTTTTTAGTGTCAGATAGGTATAACCTTAACAAATTAAAAAATTAAATTAAACTTTATATTATACTATAAGATTATAAGGCTTGGTTTAGAGTCATTGTGGCTTGTGAATGAATTGTTTGATTAAATCAAGCAATTTTCTACTATGTTTCTTTAGAAGATTTTATAAAGTTTGTAGTTGTTTTTTTAAATAATTATTTTAAAAAATAAATTACTTCGTATTTCCTTTTTTTTTTTTTTTTTATACTCTAGATTAAAATTTATAGAATTTTTATATTTTCCTATAACAAATTTATTTATGTTAGAAGAAGCATAATAAAGTAACATAAAATTCAATGAAAAATATTTAAAAAGTGACGAGAAGCATAATAAAGCTATACATTATTTTATATGATTATGCGATTTATTATTATTACCAACTAAACATTCTCTAACTGTTTGATGAAAATGGGTACAATAATACATTGATATGATTGAGTTTTATCACATCATGAGAGGGACAAGTATGATTTGATAAGAGCAGGGACGTAGCCAGGAAATCCGATGAGGGGCAAAAATGAACTATATTAAATAAATATAATTATTTAAAAAATGATTAAAGATTACTCACTTATATAATGCTTTTAATACTTTCCTAATCATACTTTTAACTACTTTTTTTTTTTTTTTTTAATGATCAAGTGTTCGGACCAACTTATGCACACCTCAACTAATTTTCAGGACGCTGAAACATCGATTAGGTAAGAACTCTAGTGACTATCTCTATTAACACTCAAGAAAGAATACAAACTTAAGACCTATTGAATAATACACCCAATAATCCATATCGAAGTTCGAACCACTCAACCATTCAGGGTAGTTAATCATAATTAACTTCATGTTAAAAGAGTTGGTACAATAATTTAATATCAATATCAATATCATTGAATATATCATTATTTTATTATATAATATGATTATGGTTAGCTATTATTAATTTTATAACCATTACAATAAAAAAAATTATCTCTACTACTAATAAATTTGAAAGTAAGTAAATTAATTGATACAATATCTCACCTATTTTAGAACGTTGATTTGTTTCTTTTTATATAGCTGAAAAATCCAAGCGTTTATATATTGAAAATTTTAGTTATAAGAATGCACATTAAATTGTTATAAAAATTTTAAAATCTCTTAAGTGAAATAAAGTAAAATAGAAACTATATTTATGTTTGAAAATAATTATCCATATAATTAATAAGGGATGTCTGAATTATCAGAAAAAAAGGGTTGTAGTTTGGTGTCAAAACCCCCATGTGAACATGAGAAATAAGCTATGCCAATGGCATGATCGCCATCCTAGGGTCAGGCCACTTCAACATGGAGTTAGGAGTTGGAGGTAAGGTAAGGTTACCCTCTTACCCACTAGAGGTGTGCAAAAAAAACCATTAACCGAACTGAACACGCTAACTGAATCGAACCGATCCCGAATTTTTAGATACTCGAAAATTCAAATCGGTTTTAGGTATTTATTATGTGATACCCGAATTTTCGGTTCGGGTATCGGGTAGTTATTTTAAGAGAACCAGGTATCCGGTTTATTAAGAAATAAAAAACCTACCTTTTAAACCTATTTTTCTTTAACTTTCAAAGAGCAAGGGGCAAAAACCCAAATTTTAAGTATTTAAGTTATTAAATTAAAAGTTGATTTAATATATGGAAGAATTTGTATTCACAAATTGAAATTTGAAATGTAAAAAATTAAAATTCATGCAAAAATATTCAAATTTGGATACCCGAAAAACTAGATACCCTTAAAAGCGATTTGATTTGCGGGTACTCCTTATTCGGGTATCCGGTTTTGTACGGCCTAAATTATTTATACCCACTATTATCATAACAAATCTCCCAATTAAAATAAGATCACAACGAGAATTAAACGAACGATCCCATCCGTCCATCTAAGTCAACCATTTCCTTTTATTACCTCAACCTATCACGTCCGCACCGTATCCAGGCACGGCGCTTTCTTCAGCCACATACACAACCACACATTTCTCCGACGCGTGAATAAAAAAACGAAATCGTCGACATTCAGTTGACTTCCCACCCTAGATCCAACAATCAAAAGAGCGCGTGCTCACACGCACTACTCTGAGATCCCCACGAACCCTTGTCCCGATACAGACGGCGAAGGAGACCAAAGATACGAAACACAATATAAAACTGAAAGAATATCGTTTGGCTTTCTCATTAAACCTAGAATAGAAGATTACCATTATCGTAAATATTTACCATTTGGAGAGCTAAATACCTAACTCCCAATATTTATATATAAAATAATAACAAGAACGATTTTTGCTTTACTTTCTTTATAACAACTCTCCCACGAAACAAACTGACTCACTCAAGCTCAACAAAGGTACGCCTAAAACCCTAGAGCTCGATTTTTTTTTTTTTTTTAAATATTAATTCATTGAAAAGAAAGAAAAGAAAAGAAGAAAAATTGTTATACGTAGAGATATAATATAGAGATGCTTACTGAGCTTAAATAGATTTTATGTGTTTGTGGTAGTGTTAATGGGGAAGGGAAGAGCTAGGGAAGTGGTAGGACAGAATTCGAGACTGTTATCAACAAAAAATTCTGGATCATTGAATATACCATCTGCGCCTGTGTATTATCCAACTGAGGATGAATTTAAGGATCCTTTAGAGTATGTTTATAAGATTAGGACAGAGGCTGAGCCTTATGGGATTTGCAAGATTGTTCCACCAAAAAGTTGGAAACCCCCATTTGCTTTAGATTTAGGGTCATTTACATTTCCCACGAAAACACAGGCGATTCACCAGTTGCAAGCGCGCCCTGCTGCTTGTGATTCCAAGACTTTTGAGTTGGAGTATAGTAGGTTTTTAGAGGAGCATTGTGGGAAGAAGTTGAAAAAGGTGTTGTTTGAAGGGGAGGAGTTAGATTTGTGTAAGTTGTTTAATGCAGTGAAGAGGTTTGGAGGGTATGATAAGGTTTTGAAGGAGAAGAAGTGGGGGGAAGTTTTTAGATTTGTGAGATTGAATAAGAAGATTTCGGAGTGTGGTAAGCATGTGTTGTGTCAATTATACCACAAGCATTTGTATGACTATGAAAAATATTACAATAAGTTGAATAAAGAAGTGTCAAAAGTTTGCAAGAGGGGATTGAATGAGGATGTTAAAAATGAAGATAAGGTCGAGTTTTTGAGCTCGAAAAGGAGGCGGAGAAATAACAATGATTGTGAGAGAGTTAGGGTTTGTGATAAGGTTGTGAAGGCGGAGGAACTTGATCAGATTTGTGAGCAATGCAAAAGTGGGTTGCACGGGGAAGTGATGCTTTTGTGTGACAGGTGCAATAAAGGATGGCATATTTATTGTTTATCACCGCCACTGAAGCAGATTCCACCGGGTAATTGGTATTGCCTAGAGTGCTTGAATTCTGATAAAGATAGTTTCGGTTTTGTGCCAGGAAAGCGGTTTTCTATTGAATCTTTCAGGCGTGTGGCTGACCGGGCAAAAAGGAAGTGGTTCGGGTCACGATCTGCATCA